CAATATATCTGTCACCTGGGTATGATGGAGGAGAAAGTAGTGACATAGTACATTACTTTGAATATCGTTCGGCATTACAAGCGTCATTTCCAGTCTTGGCCATCTGACGGAATGGGCACATGGAATACCACTATATGGATTATGCAGTTACAGCCGTCCACGGCTTATGAAATAAAAGCAAAGACAGGCAACATATATGGAATCGGAGTTTTCTTACATATGTATTTGTTACTTATCGTAAGTACAATTATGCCATGAAAGCTCATAATATGTATATTTAAAATATGACACTGAATTTGGAGTGGCAATACTTTCTGCCTTGTACAAGAAAAATATATTAAGTATTTATTCGAGTCCGCGTTATACATACTTAAATCTCATTCAATAATAATGACATATTTACTTTATTTTCAAACTAACACAGGTGAACCAATAGTTAATTTAAATGACCAGACTGGTATAATAAACTGGTCACGTCACGAAGATATGAAATATCAATGTGTGAAAATAGAAAAATTGAACAGAGATGACAATTGGAGTATAGAGGAGAATTGTTTAGACAGAGATGTGGTGGAGTATACAGTGAAAGATAGCAACGCGGAATATAGAGTTACGTATTGTACACGTGGTAATACATGTGAGGGACATCATTTTAAAGCAATAAAAAACAATGACTATCAAAATGCAGGTACGAAAACAATGTTTCACGACCATATTACATCGTATTTGTTATTGAAAGACACTGTCTTTGAGAAATCACTTCCAAACAATCATCGTATTATTCTAGATTGACGTTGAACAATTGTATTTGTATGTTGTTTGAAAAAGCTGCAAATATACTTCAAAATTAGCTCATTGTTTTCAGATCCTTAGCATTTTAAATCACCTATGCCTAGGATTCGCTTAATGTGACATATATTCGGACATGCTATGGGAATTATTCAGTCGAATCAATGGGCTCGATATATATATTTATAATTCGTACTAGTTGAGGAAGTAGCTAATAGCTTAACTATTTCAACGTGTTCAGAACGTTTAGCTCTAAACATTCGTGCCTAACTTATGTGTGTCCCATGTTTCAATTATCATTCCATAAATTCATTATTGTAGATTCTGTAGAATGTTCTAACACTGCTGCAATTAGTATAAGTGTACTCGTATCCTTACTTGGTGGCGGCGTAATTGGTTTCTTTATCGGCTTTATCCTGATTAAGCGGGTTACGAACAAAACGACAACACAGGTAAAGCAAATTAATTGTATTAACAATACTCAGTATCGGCATTCTTATTCCATGTATAAGCTCAAACTGTAACATATGCATTAATCTTTATATTTATATTTGCATAAGATGTGTTATCATCCTATTCTATGTTTCAGACCCCAAAAGAAGATAGAGAGTACACCATGAGTTCTGAAATTAGAAGTGAGACTGGATATGAGATACCGATGTCAATGTCATCTAAGGTACTATAGTAATGTATTAAATGAAACACGTGTTAACCTAGTAATTTCCACGAATCAAATAGTATTGAATATAGACATATTCAATGTATTCCATTTTATATATATTCCTTTCAAATCACACAGCCACGTGTTGCAGTTGACCATACTTATACGACACTTTCACCAGAGACAATGGAACCTGCTTCAGAATATGAATTACCAAATCTAAAGGGTGTCAACACGGTATGATTTGAAACTCATTTACATTCAGGAAGTGATATTGTATTATATCAATATATGAGAAGATTTTTATTCACAGATTAGGCCAGACTTTTTTTATTCCTTGTTTCTCGAGTTTCCATAAGGCATTTTTTTTGACGAGGGCAGAAAAAAATAAAATTCTTTTTTTCCATTGGATTTGTGTGATTCTTAAAAATTTGTAAGTGAGATCATTGATAGAAGAGAAGAAATGAAATAAAATTTTATTCCATGTATAACATTGTTTCTCATCTGCGCGAGAATTCGGTACTCTCACGAAAATGCAACTTGGATTTGGTATGAGGCGGGCGGTAAAGAATTCAAGATAAAAATAATATTTTTTTCGAAATTGTTTGCCCTTACAAGTCGGCGGGCGCGAGAAATTACGCTGAAATAAAATGTTATTTTTATTTAATTTTCGGCTCATGTATATTCGGCGGGTTCGCGAAACAAGGGATAATAAAAGTCTGGCCTTAATAACAAGTTTATTTTATTCATGTTATTAAGTTAATTTAAACATATACTGGTGATCGCAAAATAATAACACTGATTTGACATAATAGTATATTTGGATTTCGCAGACTTCGATATGAAACGTTTTTTATGTTTCACCTCTGTATATATAATAAGTCTCATTTATGTTCTTTGCTTACAATCTTTTTTTACAGAATATTCACAACTAGAAACATTAACAAGAAAGTTGATGTTGCCATAAAGAAAAGATATAATGCACAAAAGATCACATCTCCTAACAGCACTACGAGAAAGTAACTGTTGAATGACGAGACAATAATATTAAATTATAGTATGTATCTCATGTAAATCAAAAGACTCATAAAAAAGTGTTTTTACTTTGTACAGTAGTTACATCTCGATTTATATTGCAAACATGTAAATCAATGTTTTAACTTCGTTGAATTTTTTCTTCTATCTGTTTTTTTTATTACAATTATGTATATACACATTTTGTAAATTTACAATGTAATGAATTATCTTCTTATATAATATATAATAGTGATAAAGAATAATTTAGAAACCTATAACAATTATGAATACCAGAAGTTGTGGATATTGAAGTAAAATGGTTGAACTTTGACTCTGTGTAAATTGATAAAATATTGATCATGAAAATGCTACTTGGTACATTATAATATAAATAAATATTCCAAATCTACAACTCTGACTACATTTGACCTGACTTGCCTTATGCGCACTATTCATGTGTTAATCTGCCGCTCAAAATCTGAATTCGTTTACTTAATTTCCAACCACAATTTAAAAATTGTTTATTCTTTATCATCTTAAATGGTGGACACAGAGGGCGTCATACTAGTCATGTGTGTACATGTCATCCGAATACAATGCTATTTTTAAATTTTTAAATGGCTCATCGTCCGCCTGCACGGTGTTGTTCCGTTCGGACATTCCTCCCTCTACAACACCGTGCGGTAATACCATTCATAACCGTGTACGTCACGTGGTTGCGCGATAAAAAGTTTACCGACCAATAGAAAGCTTTGTTACAAAGACTGCCAGAAAGCACTCGGAGCTCTGCATTTCTGATGTTTTCGGCTTCATTACTGCCGATATGTGTTGCAGTGATATCACGAGCTTTGGGGTATAACACCTACTCTTCTATAATAGTCAATAGTGGTGACAACACTATTACCACTATTATTAAGTAAAGCTTGAATAGCTTTGGTCTGAATATCAGTGAGTGATGTATGGATATTGTCGCCTCGTCATCCAAGCCAACACAGCTTTAGCTGTGCTCAGCGACATTTATTCTCGGCTGATCTGCACTGGCTCGGAAGATGAATTCTGATTGGCTAAAAAAAACAAAAAAACTTGTGGCGTTGAATGCACGTTCATTGTCAGTATTGTTATGCAAATTCAAACTAGCTAATCATTTACAACCTTCCGAGCCAGTGCAGATTAGCCCTTTATTCTCGGGTCAGGCATTTTCACCGCCTGGCAACCATCATGGTGAAAAAAAGGCCAATAAATTGTCAGAAAACGGTATTTTGGGATGGTTGTTGTCACCCCCTACATATGCAACATATTTAAATTTGGTTGGATTTCTTCAAAGTTAAGTTTGTGCTGTTTTCTCGATTTTAGCTATTTTCACCGGCTTTTTGATCAGTGCACAGCAGCTCGCCCAGAGTCCATAGAAATACATGGTAGAGTGGTGCGCGTCTTAAATAGCAACGTGGAGCGTTTAGTGACTTAGCTCCGCCTCGAAGATTTTGATAGCTTGGCCAAGCGCGTTGAAGAAAGAAGTTATATGATTGGCTGTTGTTAAACTGATTCTAAACTGTGAGGGCATTGTCACATACACATAGTCCAAATGAAATACTTCAAGGTGATAGTGGAGTGCTTCGCCGGAACATTCAAGATGAAATGGCTGGGAGAGTAACGGTTATTAAAACATTCAAATTACTAGATTTTTTAAAAACATAATAATTATAATGACAAATTGAGAAGATAGTTAAATTTAACGCCATCTACAGCATGTCCGATACGCTATTTAAATTAAACATTAATTACAAGACTAGTATTGACTTTTCTATCATTAAACTGAAGTGACACCTTGCTTTTTGCCAGTTAAACACCAATTTAATTGTCCAAATGGTGAGACATGCTAACACCATGACTGTATATATATATATATATATATTGGGTAAAACCCCCGTATGCAAATTTGAAATATAAATACAAATTATTTGATGTTGGAAACAATGGAAACTTTGCTCACCTAGAGCACACGTTGAGGAATTCAATTGATATATCAAAGGTATTAAGGACATGGATCATTGTTGCCAGTCTCTACTTCATGAATACATGACCTAGAAAACGTATATGCATCTTACATGTGTACCACAAACACAATAGAATGGCATACTGTTTATCATAGATTTATATAGTTTGCTAATTCCCAGTCGGTTCAGAACTTAATCGTGCACTAAGTAATTGATAACCCATTTGAAATGCCACGACTATGGGCAGTCATAATCGTATAATTTCGTGGTTGAAGTAGTATTGCTGTTATCAGGATAGTGAGTTGACGGTTTACACTGAGCATATATCATCATTTGTGAGTTTAGGTTGCATTCTCACTTTCTATGATCTACTGGAATCACCTCACTGATCCATGTTCGCATCATAAAGGATGTGTACGGATCCTATGCCACATAATCCTGAAAACGAATTTGGAAGTCTCTAAAATTAAATAAAGTGACCATGAGTGAATGCAGCAATTTAAATTATGTTTGATTTTGGGGATTAGACTTCACGATCTTTGATTCCGGTCAGCTCTAGTGCTGAACTATTTTAGGATATATGTTCTACTGAAATGATTTAAAATGTTCCATGGTAATAAATACAATAACAAGTGTTATATATAGTATACAATGTGGTAAAGCAACTTCAGGGTTCGATACCACTATTTCCTGAGCTGATATAGACGATCACGATAGGATTAAATAATCAAATCTGTGAAGAAATAACAAGACCAAGATACACACTAGTGTCTAAAGGTTCACATTTTCGCATTTTGAAAGTTGGTTTTAATACAACGCACCTCAGACAAAGACTATATAAAATGTGTAACAATTTGAATAAATTCACAGTACTGCATTTTTTATATGTGAGTAGGATTATGTAGTGAAAGTTAGGTCAAGTCGTAGACCTGCACATGATATATGTCATATTTTATTGTCTGCTGCTACATCAATCGATCGTTTTTTGTATTTACGTTTGTTTCTGCTCAAAGATGCAATGTCGATAATAGCCGATTGTGAAGGACGCAGCTCGCATGGATTAACCTATTCTGATGATGTTGTATGTCAAGAAATAAAAAAACATTTGTTGGTTACAGAAAAAGTAAAAAAAAATGTGATGTTGAACATCACTCATGGAGATA